TTCCAGGCCGCACGTATTTCTTCCCATTTCTGCAATTCCTAGCTGAATAGTCTAATAAACTAATGTAGATGTAAAATATTTCACCTTGCAGTGAGTCCTGAAAGATCACACATCTTACTAGTCCAACCATCCCTATTTTTCCTAAGTGTCCCATATTCTGTACCAGGCCTAGAAAGCTAATGTTATTCAGCTTCCCACTGGTCACCTCTTCACCTGCTTGCTGTGGGTTTGTCCCAGCACCCAGCCCTTTGACTGTCAGCCAGGAGCAATGCTCTACTTTTCCCGCAAAATAAGTGCATGCAGGAACTTTTCTTTTCCTTGCCTCATGCTATTCTCATTTTAACCCAAAGATCCAGCCCTAGCAGATTTACTTGGCAGACTGCATTCCAAAATGGAAGTTTTAGCATGAGAAAGAAACTCAAAGGACATGCATGCAGGAGCAAAAATCAGTGTTTGGTGGTGAATGGGATAATAACTTCTACACAGCAAGAAGTGTAGAGGTTTTATCTGATGCAGACTGATGTTTGCATTATATTCTGAAGGGGGAAAATGTCTCAGTGGGATTAGGTGTCATGATTTTGAAAAATAGTTAGAAATCACCTTTTGGTGAACCTCAAAGAGCTTAGCAACTCTCTCAGATCAGATAAGCATCCAAAAAGGTTGGGTTGGGTTTTTTGTTTGAAATGTGGGGGGGTTCGTTGGCAGGTATGTAAGCTGAAGATCTGCGAAACTATCACGAGAAAACGGGTGGTTTCGGTTGCTGATATTTCCTGGTGTAAGCTGAGCTTTCCGTGTTCCTGCCTCTAAAATCAGCAGAAAGCAAATCATTTACAAGAACACAAAAATGTCGTTAAGCATTCCCCAAATATTTTCATATATGTCAGAGCTGATCTGATTTATGCTTTAGTGAAAGGTTACATTGATTTGTATATGAACTGTGTCCTCACACTCCTTAAGGCTGACTTTTTTACATAATGGGCTTGCCTATGAGAAAAAAACTATTTGCGCAACGAATAGCTCGAACAGCTCAGTGCCTAATTAAAGTAACCAGTTAGTCAGAGCCCATTTTGGAGGCAAACTGGGCATTTTCACATGAGAATGACTACATGCAGCATTTGTATT